TGGGAGAGGGTGTGTCACTCTATTCCAACATGGCCTTCAGCTCACTCATTATGTATCCCAAGCTGGCTTCAGATTCCCTGGGGCTGGGATTACAGAACTAAGCCACCACAGCCACATAAAATTCTTTTTTAAATGACACATGTCTTTTTTTTTTTCAGCTATCTGAGGAGTGACATAATAATCCAAACATCGCTGTCTCCTCAGGTATTATTTTTAAAGATGGGAAGCTTGCATCTTCCTTCAAGTGGTTTTGAAAAGGAATCTTGAGCTATAGACTGTAGGTGTCTTCCTGTGCTCCAGAACCTCCCAGAACACGTTCCTGCTGTGTCCAGCCTCTTCCTTTCACCTTTTCTACCTCTGGAGAGCCTGTTCCTCCCTTCTGTGAGATCCTTAGGTTTTGTTTACCACTGCGGCTCTTGGGACTCTTGTCTTCAAGCTGGTCAGGCTCCTTGTGGAAATAAATGTGGGATTTAAGGACCCTCAGAGTCCTGTGGGAGGGGCTATGCTCATGCATTGCTTGCCCACGCCTCTCCTACACTGGCCTTTTCCTTTTAACACCTCTGTCTGAAGAATGCACTTGGAAGAACAAGGTTGCAGGTACCATAACGGAAGCCTCCGAATGTTCCCAGGCCATAGATCCCAGACTGAGTGGGGTCCTTGTGTACTTTGTAGTGATGTTTCACTTGAAAAACAAATTTTAAAGCCACTTGCCACTCATTGTTCCCATAGCCGAGAACAAGTTGAGTCACAGTCAGGGGCAGCTTGTCCACCCCTTCTCTGGCTGCCATGCCGAGCTGAACCCAGTAAGCCCCTACTACCATTATGTTTGAATTGCCCTTGATGGTTTTCCCTTTTTGGAAGTCCCATTGCAATTAGACATTTACCTGAGAATATCTCCTTGCCAATCCCGAGGCAAGAGATGGACAACAAGCATTTCTGTTACCATGCCAAATGATGTTTTGGTCTCTTGCTTTATACCACTACAACCCTGGGGTAAGCACCCTAGAGAGTGGCTGTACTTGCTATTTTTGTTAAAACTGTGACCCAGTTCCTGACAGCAGCAAGAAAAGGAACATTTCGGCTCCTAGATCTAGGGGATCCGGTCCATCATGGCAGAGAAGGAATGACAGTAGGTGGTAGGATCATAAGGTAGCTGTTGGATGGGCGGCATTGATGTGGAAACAAAGTCCAGGCAGGAAGTAGAGTTGGTCTATAACCCATCAGCACCACCCTCAGACTAGCAAGGCTTTACTTTCTAAGGGTTACACAGCTTCCTCAAAACAATCACCATTTGTTGAAAACCTGGTGTTGACGTGAATCTGTGGGACTCTTTACCCATTTGAATTGCAACAATAGAGTTTAAATACAGGCTCTGTAATCACAGGTGAATGTTCAGCCCTTTCATGAGAGCTGAAGGCAATGGGCCATGGCTGGGTTTAAGTGGCTTTCTAGCAGGCATAATACATGGGACAGAGGCGAGTCACCAGGGTCATCCTGGGCTACTAGCTTTCTTCACAGAACTATGTCTAATCAAAGACTATAGAATCAAAACCACATGGGTTTATCCTGTTTCCCTCACAACACTATTTATGTGATATTAAATAGGTCACCATGAGTATTTAAACCTGTTTCTTAAATGCAAATGGGGCACAATCACATCATAGGCCATGTCTATAGATGGGGCCATGGAGAACAGGAGGGAAGGTGCCTAGAAGGGCTATGCTTTCTTTATTTGCCCCCTGGGGTGTGGGATGCTCCTTCTACGCAGGATGTAGACCCAAATGAGCCCTGACTCAGCCTGTCAGCTTCTAAGATGTTGGATTGCTCCGGGCTGTCTCGATCAAAGGCCTCTCAGACAGCGCCTCCTCCTGTTGAGTTCTGTATTTCCGAAGTGCAGTAAGAACACCCATGGTAGGCACTCTGCTAGACATGCTTGCCCCGCTCCTCCCCTCCACATGCGTATTTACTTAAACCCAGCTGTATCCGAAGAGGGGTGTTGTTTGTAAGGCAGAAGGGAAAGCTGGCCAATGCCCCATGTTTGCATATTGATGCTAACAGAGAGGCGTAAGCAAGCGCCTTCATGCAGGCAATGCCCCAGGCAGGGCAGTCCATTTCTGAATTTGAGTGGCACCAGAGAGATACAGATTCTCACCAAGTCTACCATCCGAGCAGTTTCCCTAGGACTTTGTGTTTCTATTTATTTACTTAAAGTTACAAGACATTCTACAGTGCTGTGCCATCCAGAAAGCCCATTGGCCAGGCCACTCCTTGTTGGGAACTCCCCCTAGCATGAAGTTGGCCTCACCCCATGACCTTTTATTTCAGCATCTTCCAGCAAATGCCTCCAGAGCCCGCCCAGGACCCTCAGAGACACACAGTGTCTCTCTGACTAAGGGAGAGGAGCTGGGGCATGAGGTATTAATAGCACCCTTCTGGAGTCCCTGTAGATTGTAATAAATGCGCCAGCCATTTGTTTACTGTCTGTAGACAGTGAGGAACATTCAGATAAATGAAGTCGGCGCCTGCAAGATTTATGATGCCCTTCTGTGCTTAGTAGTGTTTAATCAGGAAGTTAGCATATTATAGTGTAAAATCCTTTACACGCATGTACAAACTGAGGGCTGCCATTAGCACTCTGGCAGGCTCGGGGGTCAAAAGGCACCCCAGACTCTAGAGCTCCAAAGGTATTGCAAAAAAAAAAGCCACACATGGCTGCAAAAGACATTGGTGAAGACTGGAGTCTGCAGCCCCCCCTTGTTTCTTTCTATTTACTTTTTCTCCCTTCTTAAGTTTCTCACTTGGGATAGGCCATGTGATAAGCAATAACACAACGTACATACTGTGCTCATATCTGGGACCCACCAGAGAGCAAGGGATTAGAGGTAGGTAAAGCAGGGTCAGCAGAGGTGCTGGAGGTTAGTGTGTTTGGACAAGGCTGGGAGCCTGTGGGGGAAGCAGCATGAGCTATCCCACCTGGAGGAGGAGACATGGCTCCAGCCCCAATGCCATAAGCCTGGCTCCACGAAGTCTAGCCAACATCTGGAATGGATATCAGGAGACACAGGAGGCCTTGCTGGCTCGCCTAGCTACCTTTGTACTTTTCATTGCAAATTGAAAAGCAAAACAGACATCAAGGATATATTTATATAACTGTCTTCAAGTTGCATTTTCTACTCCCATCTGCTGCACATGATAAGTTTCAAGTGTTTTCTAATAAAGGGAGTGGGGGCACGGGTGGATTAGAAGGAAGACTCGGTGTGTGCACAACCGCCTGAATGCCGGCTCCTTATTTGGTGTGGAGACTGATGTTGCTTAAGCTTCATTTAAAGATGTTAAAACACCCAATGGCTGTGGAAGCACTGCCGCGAAAAGATGCTCTGATATTTTGCATGTCATGTTTATTTAAAAATTTGTGTTGGATCACATCAGAGAAAGGACAGAGAATCTTCTTAGACCCTTCAACCCTCCTGCTGTGATGGGAAGGAAAGAAGCCCATAATTTTTTTTGTTAAGTCTTTGGCCAGAGGAGAGATGGTGGGGCATGAGATGGCAGAAGGAGATACAGCACAAGATAGAAACACATCAGGGCCAAACCAAGATAATTTAGGTCTGTCTACATTTAAGTAAGTGACCTTGCTAGTTATTCACAGACAGAGCTGGGATCTCTGTCCACCAAGTTCACTGCAGAACTGAACACTTGAGTTACCAGCCAGGGCTGAAACTAGTCTTTTCCTTTTTTTACTTTTCAACTAATAAGGCTTGGGTAAGGGGGATCTATGATTTCCCTAGTATCACAGAGCCATGTACCCACCCACAAAGAGAATCACAAGACAACTAGGCAGGGAAGGTGGCTTAGCTGGTGGCTGCTGGGGTGTGAAGACAAGAGTTCAATCCCAAGCCCTGACATGAGTGACACGCATGAGAAAACATGCCATGATCGTGATACTGGGAGGCAGATGCACAAGGATCCTTAGGGGCTTGCTGGCCAGGCAGCACAGCTGCACGCCATCCTCAGGGAGAGACCCTCTCTCAAAGTAGGGGGTGGAAAACAGCAAGGAAGATACATGATATCATTGACCTCTAGACACACACACATGAACCCCATACACTTGAACATGTATGCATGAGTACACGTATATGGACCAAAAGAAAAAAGACAACCACCGAGATAATTGGGAATTCATCAAAACGAATAAAACACTAAGTCTAAAGATCTGGATGCAAGGGGTTAAACCAGTCCCTGCACTTCATTGGTAGTCTGTTATGTGCTCTATCTGGGACTTGTTGGAGGAAAAGTAGAGTGTCCAGGTCAATTATTGATCAGCCCCCAAGTTGTTTCCTTCTGGTCATTTTTTCTTTGCATCCAAATGAAAATGAGCTATGCTGATCCAGAAACGCCATGGTCCCTATTAACATGCTGGACACAGAATGGGCCAGGAACAAACAGTAGAGTTCTCAGAACACAGCTGGCTGCAGACCCAGACAGGGGTGAAAAGATCAAGGCCTTGGAACAAGATAGATGGAGGTCAGCTCTGCTTTTTACCACTTACTGTCCTCAAAGCTACATAAGCTTTTTAGTTCTTGATGAGCTCATCTGGAAAATGAAGATGCCATGGGGTTAACATGTGTATAATGTCAAGTGTGCTCTTTAGACAATATACAGTTTCACTACCCTCGATTCCCTAGTCAAGTGAGTTACATAGGCGACCCCCTTTGAACCCCTGCCTACCCTAGGTGAACATCCTAACATCCCCCTTCAGAAGACTTTGCATCAAAACCCGGCACACACAAGTCACTCCAAGCTAACATCGTCTTAGTCTTACTTGGGCCAGTCCTGTCTTCAGGAGGAAGTAGTCACAGAATTTTTCCCATACCTGCTATATAGCCCATGTTTCAGGGGCCTTTCTCATTTGACTAAGGTACATTTTCCTTCTAGGAAGAGGTGTGGGAGACCTGGATATCTAGACTCCTGATTCAAATATCCTCTTCCTACATTTGTAGTCTTATGTCACATCCATCACTTGGGCAGTTAAGTCTGCTAGAGGACTTATGATGGTACCCAAAGTGAAGACAGAAGTCCATAGGAGCACTGTGGAGCCTACCAGCTGAAGGGACCAAGCTCCATGTTAGCACGGTATGTCTAAATGTGGGAACTGCTATTTTTGGGTCGCGCAGAATATTTTACTGAAATAATGTGTGCTTTAACTAAAAACATGAACCACATTCCTCTGAGATGGAATATGGAATTTTGCCTCTCAACTTCTCATTACAATGAGGAGAGAAGCGCTGAGAACCAGAGAGAGACATGACTGCCTACCTAGTGTTTTCTCTCCTCTGCAGTGCAAACCTGAGCACCTAGCGAAGCTTGTGGCTTCAGAGTTCACTGGAGTCTGAGTCATTCTGAGATCACATTCTCTGAATCCACCCTCCATCCTCACCAGCCAGAACTGGCTGGAGACAGCTGGGACACAGAGAGACTGACAGGACTCGACTCCAACCTCTCCATGGAGACTAAACAGAGATTCCAGCAAGAGACAGCAAGTTGGCCGGGTCTCCTTTATCCAAGTAGAAGGGGGATACAAACAGTAAGGAGAAGATTTGAGCTAGACATGGTATTGCTTGCCATAATACCAGAATTTGGGATGCTGAAACAGAAGGATTTCAGTTTCAAGGCACAGAGAGAGAGAGAGAGAGAGAGAGAGAGAGAGAGAGAGAGAGAGAGAGAGAGAGAGAGAGAGAGAGAGAGAACACTTGGGAAGGGACCTTGATGATTGAATAATGTGAACACACACTGTGATTACAACCAGCAGTGTGCCAGGGAAGCCCACAGGAATGTAGGCTCCTGAGTTAGCATGTGGCTAAAAGGCTCTACAAATATCCACCTGTTTACTTCAGAAGCCCAAACCTTGCCCACACCTCTGATGATTTTTGATGATTCCTTACAGCCTTTAAAATGCTAATCTTGGTTTGTTGAGAACAAAACATGTTCATTTTAGAGGCCAAAACGATGACCTTTTAGGATCCTGAAACTTAGAACTATACCCCTTTATTCCTAGGAAGCATGTATGCCTATTTTGTAGAAACTAAAAACGGCAGATGTGTCACAGCAGGCCATTGGCCTGGACAGAGTCCCTGTCCTGGGCCCCACAGTGGCATGTGGCTCACCACACCCAGCAGTTCCCCCAACCTTCTGTAAAATCAGCCGAGAAAGAGGGAGACTAGCCAAGTGCCTGAGAGATGAGACAGCCCTTCAGTGCAACCACCACAGGAAAGAGATTTCACAACGTCTCCATCCTGCATTCTGATTCCGTTTCCCTGACCCTTTCTTGTCGATGACATAAAGCTTCCCAGCTCACTCCTCGGAATGCTCCTTCTAGATTGAGAATGGGGGGCTGCTCAATTCCACGACTGCAAATAGAGTAAGATCTGTAACTGTGTCCCTTGTGGTTTTTCCCTTTAAATGTCATGTAAATATGCACATACATATTCTCATCTTCAGACTTGGGGAATCTCGCTTGTTTCCTGGTAACCATTTTTTTTTCTATCTTACCTCAAGCTCTCAGAGGAAAACAAGCTCTCTTTATGAAGTTCAGCAAGCGCATGGCTGTTTGGTGAAGAACTTCAGGTTTTGCTGACTAATGAAATTTCCAGTTTTGCTTGATGGCTAAAGGAATTTGGGCAACATCTTGGCCTTCTTACCTCAACTGTGTCTGAAGAGGTTAGCATCGAGCCCAGAAGACTCTGATCCAAAAAGGGATAGCCATGCTTTTGGTCATTCTGAGACAGTTACACAAAACTGCAACACAGATGTCAATATTGTCTTCAGTTGCCCAAGGCTCCCTGGAGCTAAAGATCTAACCAGAAGGTGAGAAACGGACAGGCTTGTGTGGTCTGTACAGAAAGAGGCAGTGCTGCTGTACAGTCCTGCTCATAGAAAGGGCAGCAGGGGAGGAGGGGAGCAGGGGAGGAAGGTGGTGTGCATTCAAAGGAAAACCCTTAGTAAGCTACAGAGCATAGATGGTTCCAGCAGAGGTTGGATTTCTAGTCTAACTATGATCGAAAGTCTCCAAGGCGTCCTCCTCAGCTACTTCACCTGTGAATTAGGAACCAAAATAGTAACTCCTTCACAGCATTTGTAAGCTGGGAGGAGTAAACGGCTTGATGTATACTAAATTCTTAGAATAGTGTCTGGCACAAAGATTCAATCCACTTTGTAGATGAAATAAAAGCTCTGAACGGAATTCCCAGCACTGACACCGGGAGATGCAAATGCAGAGAGCAGTCTGAGTGGCTGTGGGGCGGGAGAGGAGGGCCTACCTAACAGGTTCCTTCTTGGGTGATGGAAGAGCACTAAACTAGACAGGGCTTGTTACCTAACACTGTGAATGTGCTAAATGCCACTGGGCTGTACGCTTTGAAAATGGCTAACAGCAATGTGAAGTTCTGTGAACTTTACCTCAATCTTTCTAGGGAGGGAGGACGGGATAACCACCAATGAGCCTAAATGGACTTAGTAAAGTATGGCTTTGTGTGTGTGGATGGTGCGTGTTCTCATGTGCACAGGTCATGCAGATGCATGTGAATGAGGGTTCACAAGCACATATGTGCATATAAATTCGTGTGGAAGCCCAAGTTCAGTCCTTCCCTGGGGTCTATCCACCTTATTTCTTGAGATACCCATTTGAAGTCAAGTGAACATTACCAACCCAGGGCCTTTCTACTGCTTTGTCTGCTCAGATCTGACACTCAGCTAGATAGGACATGCCCCGGACTCAGCTGTGACACAGCCAGGCTATGAGGTCCAGGACAGCGGCTGATCAGAATTCATCAAAAGCAATCAGAGCAGAACTTTTAGGGGCTCTCCCCTCTAGAGAGGTTTTCTTCATAGTCCAAATAAACAATCCAGGAGGGCGCAGACTCCATTCCTTGTATTTGTAAGAGACATGAGGACTCCTATGCAGGTCTGGCTCCAGCCTCCTTTATTCTTTTTCCTCAAGCATGTTTGAGAGACTACGGATGTGCCTACATCTGGAAGGGAGAAGGGAGCACGCCCTCAGGTCTAGGGAATGTGGAGCAGATCCAAGCAGCCAGTCCCCGCCGGCTTACAGACACAGTTCACAGCTGTGATCCACAGCCCAGCTCCTCACCATTCCCAAAGAGTGTGTGTCCTCCAGTCAGTCCATTTCCCAGCGGCGCTCACCTCCAGAGGCTGAGAACTGCTCCAATGCTGGCAGTTGCTGAGCAGGAAGAGCTCTTCCAGCCAGCCTGGCCACGCATGCTCAGAAGGTACATGCCTCCAGAGCCCAGGCAATGGGTAAAGCACCCAGGCTTCCTTGGTCAACTTTGTCTAAAGCCTCTCTCTATTTTAGTGCTGTTTCTCAAAATTGGATCGTATCGTTACTACTTTTGCTAATTCAATGAATATGTACCAAAGATCTTCTCTCTATGTTCAGCACAGGAGGGAAAAAAATCAAAAGTAGCTATCATCAGTCACTTTAGGAAGGGCAGGAGCTACATGGGAAATGTTTGTACCTTGAGAGTCAAAGCCTGCCCCTTCCCCAGGCTCCTTCAACCAAGAGTCAGAAAAGCTGGTGTACATCTGAGTGTCCAGATTAACTGTGTGATGAGAATGGTCTTTCCCAAAGGGATTTCCTACAGAGGCAACCTCCAAAGCTTTATGAATTGAAAATGATACACTTATAGTACTTTAATCATTTTCTCGTTGCTGAATTATAGTCATCATTTAAGCAGGGAGAAAAATACGAATTGGAGAGAGAAAGAGGGAGAGGGGAAGAGAGGAGTGTATGACTTTGTTCCAATCCCATATACACAGGGTTCAATAAGCAAAGACGGAAAGAGTGACCATACTGTAGCAATAGAGTCCACAGGGATAGGGCCATTGAGAACCTCGCCAAGTACATCCAAAACACTTGGACATCTGTGTATTTGTAGATGGATTTCACTTTGACCTGCTATAAGATCCTTCCAATCATGTCATTTTTCAGACCCACCTTGCAACTGTACAGATTCTAGAACATCTTCCTCCAAAAGCAGTGACCCACCCAGAGGACACAGAGTTGGGAAAGGAGGCATTCCCTTGTCTAGGATGAAGTGAAAGCCCAAAGTCCATCCACTCACACCAGCCAAAAAACGGCGTCTAATTACTGTTTATCTTCAGCTATCAGAACAGATCATGGGACCATCTGCCTCGGAAAGGCTAAACTTCATGCTGGTCCAAAGGCAATCAAAAGGAAGGCAGGAGCCATCACCCTTCACAAGATGACAGGAACTGCAGGATTGAACTCCAGCTCTCAGGAGCAGGCTTAGCTCTAAGAGCCCACATTTGGGGGAAGATACCCCAAATGATGGCTCTTAGAGCTAACAGGAAATTGCAGAGCCTGATACAGCATGCAAGACACAGACATTGCTCTCTCGGGTGACAGCATTTCTGCAGGGAAGCAGAGACAACTCACACCAGCATGGGGTTCTCACAGTGTTAGCGTGCTCAGATGTGCTACCAGCTTCTTCACGAACATTCCTTGAAAGCTGGGTAACATTAAAAAGTACCTGGATGGAGTTGGGAGCCTGCACTGCCTCCCTGTCCAGATGATCCACTGACCCCAAAGCTCAAGCACAAAGTCCATTCCTGTCAACCATCGACCTCACCGACACGAATCACAAGTCAAGAACCCCGTGGATTGCCCCACAGAGAAAGTTCTCTCATCAGAAGAGCAACCGTCTGCCGCGGGGAAAGAGTAATGCCATCCCTATGAAATCTATAAACTTGAAACAGGGACACAGAACTAGTGGCTGCCAATAACTTTTACTTCATTTATCTATATTTGGCAAAAGCTGCACTGCAGCTGGGCATGAGATGCTGAGCTGGATAACTGCGGAGGCGTGAGCCCCAAACAGCAATTACAGCGCAGCGTTGCCTTGTGGAAGATTTCACTTTTATTCATTGTTCTAAAGCAGAACTCTAGCCCGGTACAGTACAGGCCACATTGTCAGCATCCGCAAGGCCTGCTGCTCAGAAGGTCTGTGGCTCCCATTGTCTGGGAAGGTGTGTAAAGGAAGGGGAAAGGTCTCCCTAAGGGCCGTGTGAGCGCAGCTTCCATGCCAACCTCGTCATCAGACACACCTCTCTTTTGTCTGTAACTAGAAGAAACTATTTTCATGTTCAACCCAAGCTTGGCTTAACATATACTTCGCAACCCTGATGATGTCTCCCCCTTCCTGTTTTTTTAATCAGTAAAGATATTGATAATTATAATTGGCAGTGGGAGGAAGAGGTCTATAAATATCTCATCAGCTGCCACCAAGCGGGGAGGTGGGGGTGCAAAAGAGGTGGTCGCTACAGCTCTGAAGGGGGCTGGCTGGGTGGGGGCACGGAGCCTCACAGCCATTGTCTCTCCAGCCAACATCTGTTTCTTATGGTGGGTGATGATTTTCATCGAATCACAGAAATTAGAGCTAGAAAGGACCTATTAGGTCATCTAGTGCAGCTCTCTGCCAGTAGAGGAGGATTCTCAACCCAGAAGACCATTTCTTTGTTCCCTGCAGAGCTCTAGCACTTATACTCATGGATGGCAACAGCATTCAAGCATTATTAAAATCTATTTTTGTACAACAGGGACCTTTTACATGTTCATAAGACACAGCAAGATGAAATGTCCACAATTTACAGAGCCCAGAACAAATTCAACACATAACATTAGAACTCAAGAGAAAATGCAATTTCTCTCTCTCTCTCTTCAAAGAAGGAGAAATAAAGGGCTGGCCATGCAGTTATTGAAGTTATTTTTTAATCCAGTTCTAAAGTTGTTTCTAAAAGTTGAATTCTCTGGGGCTTGATACATCATAAAGTAAATGGACATCATTTACCTATACGAAAACAAGACAGCTCGCCTTTGGGGTAAGTAAACGTATGTCTGTTTCTGAATCGATTCATGTCTGGTGTTTCTTGATGTCACTGCATTTTCCTGACTCCTGAATCCAATCTTATCTACCCTGGTCTGTCTATGCCACAAGAAATGCAGCATCCTTGTGTCTGTCTAGTTGATGCTCCTTCTGATTCATGCTGCTGAGTGGGATCGTGAACTTGAGAAGCTCACCTGTGTCAAGCCAACTCCTTGTGTTCTCTAATCTCTAGCAACCAGACCTTCTGTTCTGTCTTCAACTCCTGTCTCTTATCTTAGGCAATAACTTGTGTACCAACTTCATAGATCAGATGTCTGCCTTTCACTCTGAAATGATAAAAGAGTGTTCTCTCTGACATGATGTCCTGCTGTAAGAGAGCTGAACTCTTACAGAGTGACCTTGGAAATACACACTAAACCCACATTTAAAAAACAACAACAAAACATGTGCTTGCTGTTTTGGAGAAATGTGCCTGTAAGTTCTGAAGGGATTTCACACCCCAAAATAAATGTGGGCTCAGTACTTTCTCCAGCTAGGAGATGAAGCAAGAAGCATCAGTTCACTGAGATATGAAGGGCTGTTCTCACTTCATCTTCTAGTGAGGATGGAGTCATGCTAGGATCTGCAATTCACTAACAGGCTTGCAAAGTGCATGTCTTCCAGCTTGACACGATAATCTTTAAAACATTATACAATCTTTAGTGTCATGACAATAATCCAAGAGTTCCCAGTAATATTATTAGCAGTCGGTAGCTAATCTTAGTTATCAACTTGACACACCTGGAAAGAGGAAAGCTTACTTGAGAGACCGACCGCATTGGATTGGTCCGTGGACATGTTTGTGGAACATTTTATTGACTGCTAGTTGATGGGAGAGGGCCCAGCCCACCATGGGCAGAGCCATCCTTATGCAATGGTGCCTGGAATATATCAGAAAGGTAGCCAAGCAATGCAGGAGAAGCAAGACAGCAAGAAGTATCCCTTATGGTCTCTGCTTCAGTTCCTGCCTAAAGATACAAGCCTTGAGCTCCTTCCTTGGCTTCCCTCTGTCAGTCACTGGTAAGCTGAAATAAACCTTTTCCTACCCAAATTACTTCTGATCATAGTGTTTTCTCAGCAAAAGAGAACTAGGACACCAATGAGGTTATCACCACCACCAGAAAGGTACCTAACCAGAACCTGTTTTGAGCAAAGAGACCACAATTAAATGGCCTTATTCAACTTACACTATTTGATGTAATAATCGCAGTTATTCCACAATAAACTAGGTCTGATTGTCCAAAGCACTGGGTATGGAATATGGGTGGGGATTTGAGGATTGTAAAGAATACGTGTGCTACCTGGCAAGGTTAAAGGGAGCTCAGTAAATGAGGGAAGCACAGAAGGGCAGGGAACATAGTCTCACCTTTCAGAACTGCACATGGGTTCTCAGTGCTGTGCAGGGGAAACGGTTGTAGAATGGAAACAAATGAGTGTGGATGTTCCCCGACTAGTCATCATGTAACCCAAACTCAAAGAGGTAGATCACAGTCTTCTAAGAAATGCATTCCTAATCTTAAAACAGGATTCATCTTAAACCAAAGATCAGCTGAGGATCAAGAATCCCCTTTTTTCTCTCCTGTCACATGTTGTCCTAGCCACCTTGGCCATGCCTGCCTTTGTTGAGGTCACTCCACAGCTATGAACACCAATTTCTATAAAATGGGCTCAAATGTATCTACAAATGAAGACAAATCAGGCAACACATTCAACCTATGAGGACATGTTATGCATGCTGAGTGATTTCTTTCTCTACATCAATAAATTTAATCAGTTTACTCATTATTTACACATGAAAGTACATTAAGCAGTTGTGTTTCTAAGGTACTCTTTGAAAACAATCATAGATGCAGACAATGCATATCAGGCAGCTCCTCTCCTACTCCCTCCAACTCTCTAGGGCCCCCTCAATTCATCTCCCTCCCAACTTTACACCTTTTTTCTTTCTGAGTAACCCACTGAGACCAATTAGAGCTATCCATATGCCCATGAGTGTGGAGCCCTCCTCTAGGATACAGAGAACCTACCAATGGCTGCCCCAACAAAGAAAAGCAATTCTTTCTCAGCAACCATCACCTGCCATTAACTTCCTAGCAAAGGCTGGGACATCAGGAGCCTCTCTTCTCCTGATGAAATTTTGAACTGTTTGAATCTTGTGCAGGTAAACGCCAGCTGCTATGGGTTGGTTTGTGCAACACACAAGGCATGTACCCAGCTCAGCATTTCACACCACTCCTCCCCATCCTCCAGGCTCGTGCATTATTTCTTCCGCTCCTCTCTGAAATATTATCTGATCCATGCAGGGAGGGGGTATTGATATAGATTGTCCAATTTATGGCTGAGCACTCATGGTCTCCACACTTTTTAACAGCTATGCGTTTGTACATTAAGAAGGTTCTCTGACCACTGTTGAAGCAACATGAACCTGTTGCTGCTGGGACCCAGGAGTGTAAGCTTTTTGCCATCCTCAGCCTTTGTTTCACATACACACAAAAAATATATAGTAAATACCTAGAGTATGCCGAACCTGGTGAGTATTTTAGGCATTACAATACATCCCTAGACCTTGTGCTTCTCTCCTTGGTATTTCAGGTGGGTTCTGTGTCTGGTTCTTCTTAGTTTCTTCAGGACCTTCACTTACCATAAACCACATGGTCCTATGGGAGTTACTGTAGCCAGACTTGGGAATGAACAGCCTTTCTTCCCCATACAGAAATGTGTATCTACGCTCTTAGGGTGGCCTTGGAGCCACACACTCAACTTAGGTTCAACAAGCTATGTATTTGCTGCTTCAGGGTTACCTGTGAACCCTCCATCCAATCAATGTGTGTCTAATGCCTGCCCCACACAGGGGATCCTGGGTGTCCCTATACTGGCCTAACAAACAGGACTTCAAACTGGTGTCTCCTTCTGCTGTGAAGAACTATAGAACAAACCAGAATAATCTCACCTTCTTTCTGGCATTGGTGGCTTGTGAGTACTTCCTAGCTCTCTCCTACTACCCTCTCACCCTTGATTTCTAGAGTGTAAACCTTAATTCACTTCATGTTCGGTGGTAAATTATCTCAAGAGTACCAAAGGGTACCAGGGTGCATGGGTGGCATAGCACTGAGCTCTGTATTGGGCTCTCTAGCCTGCCACCCAGACAAGAGGCTGGAAGAGAAGTCTTTAGCCTGGAACCTTCTAGATCAGGTTTTCTCTTGAGTTCCTTGTCCTTTTTCTTGTATGTCAGTTCCATGACCAAGCAACTTTGAGTTCACGAATTGAAACCTTGCTTGATTCTGCCTTGCAACAACCTAAATGATCTTTCCTGAGTTGAGGAAAGGTTTCTAGGTGTCTTACAGGTGCTCCTGCACTGATCCAAAGGCCCTTACTCCAAGAGTCTTCCCAAACTATGGGCTAGTGAGCAATATGGCCCATTGTAGGGGATACACGGGAACCAAAGCATCAACACTACTCTCAGAACAAAGAAGAGAGCAGCATAAGCAGACAGATGAACTCCAGCTGAAGTAAATCTAGGGAATAAGCACCTACTTATTAATACTCCCTTTCTTATTGCTGTATCAAATGCCTGGAAAAGGAAAAGAGTCTTTTGGAGTCCGTAGTCTGTGGTTATGGTCCACGGAGTAGTTTGAAAGAAATGGTCCCCAGTGGAAGTGTGGCCTTGTTTGAGGAAGTGTGTCACTGTGGGAGTGGGCTTTGAGGTATCCTATACTCAAGCTATGCCCAGTGTGGCACTCAGTTCACCTCCTGTTGCCTGTGAATCAAGACACAGGACTCTTTCCCCCCAGTACCACATCTGCCTGCACACTGTGATATTTCACTGTAATAATAATGGAATAAACCCCTGAACTGTAAGCCAACCCAGTTAAATACTTTCCCTCATAAGAGTTGTCATGGTCATGGTGTCTCTTCACAGCAATAGAAACCCTGACTAAGACAGTCCATCATGGCAGGGAAGACGTGGTGGAAGGAGTGTGAAGCTGTTGTTCTATTGTGTCCACAATCAGGAAGCAGAATGAGATGAAGGTTGGCGCTCAGCTCACTTTCTCCAGCCCATGGGACAGCACCACCCATATTGGAGGTAGGTCTTCCATTTTATTTAACACATTGTAGAAACTCCCTCACAGACATGCCAGGGTGGTCTCCTGGGTGATTCTAGAGTCTGTCAAGTTGACAATTTAAGTCATCACCAATGTCTTCATTGTTTCTTGGATTATGATATTCTGAGGTCCCATATCTGATGAGTGTTGCAACTGGGTAATTCTAAGCAGTTTGACAAACACTCAAAAACCCCAACTCCCTCTCTCTGCAAGGAGACAGGAGAACAGCCGACATTCCAAGGCTCTTCCAGAACCAAGACTCTCTGTTTGCATTTCCGTCAATGATCTATTAGAGCAATAACTGGTTGGATGCACTGAGAACAAATGTACACTTTGTTTCCAAAAAGTACTAAAAATCATTCTCAGCAGGAGATATCAAATGCTGGTGGAGCCGTAATGGGGTGCAGGACATGGGGTTTGGCACAGGAACTGGGCGTCTTTCTTTGATGGTGTCATAAAATTCCCTTACAATTGAGTTAAAAGACATGGGTGAGAGCATCTGTGACTCCTGGGCAACTGTACTCCACTTCCCATCACAGGAGCTGGAGAGTTCCTTTCTCATGTGCATCCTTGCAGCTGGGCAGGTCTCACTTCCCCCATCCAACGTTACATCCCCTCTCCATTACACCGGACCTCACGCTGCTTCCTCCATGTGGGCCATAGCATTCATTAATCGGGCTGTGCACATTTTCTGAAGGGTTGTTTCCCTGTTTTCCCTGGGAACTCTTGTTTGCTCCTCCATAGCCAAGTCGCTGCACTGTCTGTAGGATCTGGACTGTGTTCCTTGGCTCCCCAGACTTCCAACTACTCTCTCCTCTGGCTCAGACCCTCTTTCTAGAAAGCCATGGCATCACAGGGGTTCTGCTGATATAAGCATCCCTAG